GAGACGCATACGCTGCGGGGCAACGAATGTACAGGGTGGGGGGGACGCATGTGGACTTTGCCATTGGGGCCTTCGGTGGACCTCCGTCTGGGGCCACGAAACACTGTGCTGGGTGCACGAGACGCATGCGAACGGTTCCACTGGGGCCTTCGGTGGACCTCCTTACGGGGCAACGAAACGCTGTACTGGATGGGGAGACGCATGTGGAAAGTGCCACTGACGCCTTCGGTGGAGCTCCCTATGGGGCCACGGAACACTGTACTGGGTGGAAGAAACGCATGCAGAGTGTGCCACTGGCGCCGCCCGTGGAACTCCAAAACGCTGAACCGGGTGGGGGGGGCGCATGCGGTCGGTAGCACTGGGGCCTTCAGTGGAGCTCTATATGGGGCCACGAAACGCTGTACTGGAGTGGGCCGCATGCGGGCGGTAGCACTGTGGCCGTCGGTGGAGCTCCCTATGGGGCCACGAAACGCTGTACTGGGGGGGGGGGGGGGGCGCATGCGGGCAGTAAAACTGGAACCTTCGGTGGAGCTCCCTATGGGGCCACGAAAAACGGTACTGCGTGGAGGGACGCACGCGGGCGGTAGCACTGGGGCCTTCGGTGGAGCTCCCCATGTGGCCACGGAACGCTGTACTAGGTGGGGGGGGCGCATGCGGGCGGTAGCACTGAGGCCGTCGGTGGAGCTCCCTATGCGGCCACGAAACGCAATACTGGGTGGGGGGGACGCATGCGGGCGGTAGCACTGTGGCCGTCGGTGGAGCTCCCTGTGGGGCCACGCGACGCTGTACTGGGGGGGGGGGGGGACGCATGCGGGCGGTAGCACTGGGACCGTCGGTGGAGCTACCTATGCGGCCACGAAACGCACTACTGGGTGGGTGGGACGCCTGCGGGCGGTAGCACTGTGGCCGTCGGTGGAGCTCCCTGTGGGGCCACGAGACGCTGTACTGGGTGGGGGGACGCCTGCGGGCGGCAGCACTGGGCCTTCGGTGGAGCTCAATATTGGGCCACGGAGCGTGTGAGGGGTGTGCCAAAGTGAGCGGGGTGACGCGAGGACGGAGGAGCGTGAGGAGTGGGGGGAAGAGGAGGAGGAGGAGGAGGAGGAACGCGGGAGAGCGTCTCTTCAAAAAGAAAACCCGACACCACAGGCTGGTTGGGAAAAACATGTGATGAGGAAAAAAAAGTTTACAGAAATGTCTGGAATGCACTGAACTCAGATACTTATGTGTACGTAAATTTGCTTACACATGAGAAACATCACAAGCTGCCGCACTGCTGCACTTCTCAAAAATTTCAGATGTTCATACTTCTTGGGACCTAGCAGGCCACCCCCCTCCGTGACGTCCCCCCTCGCCGTTCCCCCGGCCGTCGGCTCTCGAGCTCCCCCCAGGAGAGCCCAGAATCGAATCGATAAGTCGGATCGGCGATCGGAATGAATCGGATCGGCGGAAATCGGCAGCTGAGTCGGGAGAAGCCGCATCGGCGGAAATCGGCAGGCCAGTAGGCCTCCCTCGAGGGATCGGATCCCGAACCGGAATCCCAGGCCGAATCGAATCGGCATCGGAAGTTCACCGAAGCCGAATCGAAGCGGGGTAATCCCGGCCGCATGCGCACGTCGCGGGGCGAGGCGCGGGGGACGCCGCGGCAGGGGACGTCCGGCCTGCCCCGGGGGGGGTCGGCTGGGGCTGCCCCCGCGCCTCGGGCGCGGCGCGCGCCGGCTCGTCGGCACCGCGCCCGCGGGGGCTCGGCGGGCGCCCCGCCGCGGGGCCGCCGCGCTGCGGGCCGCGCTCCTCGCGAGGCGGCGAGGGCGAGAGGCGACAGCGGATCGCCTCCCATCCTGAGGAGGAGGACGGAGGAGACGGAGGAGGAGGAGGAGGGGAGGAGGAGAGGAGGAGGAGGGGGGGCGAGGAGGACGGAAGAGGAGGGGGAGGAGGGGAAGGAGGAGGAGAGGAGGAGAGGAGGAGGAGGGAGGAGAGGAGGACGAGGAGAGGAGGAGGAGGAGAGGAGCGAGGAGGAGGAGGACGGCGGTTGACCGTCGTCGTGAAGGTGCCTCTGTCTCGTCGCGCTTGGGTAGTTGCTTCCTCGTCGTGCCTGGGCCCCCCCTCGTCGTGCTTGGGCCCTCCTCTGCGCCTCGCGCGCGCCCGCGGGCGGGACGGCGGGCAGGGCGCGCCGCCGCGGAGCGGGCCGCCCGGCGCCTCCGCGGCGGGCGCGGCGGGGGCGGCCGCCCGCCGGCCCGCGGCGGCGGGCTCGGCCGGGCGCGGGGGCGGGGCGTACCTGAAGGCGCCCAGGGACACGCAGATTACGGTCGGCCCGTCGCAGAAGGATGCGCGATAAGGACGCAAGGGCCTTGGGCGCCCTTCTGGATGCTTTTCGAGGCGGCGCGGCCAACGAAAGCGGCCAAGGATGGACCGAGGAGGCAAGGATGCAAGGGTGCCCTTCGGGAAGGTTGCTCATTCTTATTTTGCTGGTTCACTGCAATGGGCACATAGCCCAGGACTTCCCATGTTTTTCCATACGTCGCCGCGCTGTTGGCTCTCAGTGCGCCCCAGTGGACGGCGCCGGCACCACGGCGAACATACGGCAAACCCTGCGACCCGCGCCCCAGCAGACGAGGCACCGCGGCACACCGTGCGGCAAGCCCGCCGCGCCCGAGGCGGCGCTAGCCCTGGTGCCCGCGGCGCCCTCCCAAAGACGCAAGGCTGCGTGTCGGCACAAACGGCGCGGCGACATATTTTCTGGAGTCTCGTCTTCCCCTCCACTTCACATCTCTTCCTATACTTTCATGGGAATCGACGTTTACACGTCGGTCGGAAGAAGTAGGTAAAAACATGAAGAAGGAAGGCGGATCTAGTAGAGTGGGTCCGGGCCCGCCCAGGGGAGCGACAGAAACGCAGCAAAAGCACATCGATTCTTGAAGCACGATGGCGCTTGAAGCAGATTGGGATCTGGGGATCCAAAAATTGGGGAAACCAAAAGGTACCGATACCACTACTCCCTGGACCTCTCCTGGAGCGCGTTCTGACCAGAATCTCGATGCCAGGCGACAAGGGCCCCCTGGGAGGCCCACTTATGGGAAAACGAGGGGAGGGGAGCTGTATGGGCACCTTTTTTCCCCTGAAGAAGACCCACTTTCAACGACTGGCGTGTGCTCGTGCCCGTGTGCCTCTCTTTGATGCGGAGCACCCAAGGGCGGTCGCAGCCGCCCCCGCCGCCGGGGCCAGGGGCTCCTGGCCGCCGGGGAGGGTGGAGGGCGGCGGAGGGCGCGAGGGCAGGGGCGGGCAACCACATCTCCAGGGGATCGACTTCAGGATCGACTTACAGTCCACCCGTACAGTAAGGATGCGCGAGAAGGATGCAAGCGCCTCGGACGCCCATTTCGAAGCTCTTCGAGCGGGGCGCGGCCAACGAAAGTGGCCAAGGATGGGCCGAGGAGGCGAGGATGCAAGGGTACCCTTGGGAAGGTTGCCCATCCTTACTATGCGGGTTGACTATAGGGGATCGACTGCAGAATCGCCTTGCCCCCAACTCGGTTTACCTCGTCGAATACATGAAAAACATGCGCAAGCGCTGCGTCGCAGTCTACGCATTTCTGTTCATGGACTCGGCGAGACAAGCAACTCTGGGGTAAAGCATCTCTGTAGTCGATCCCCTGCAGTCGGCCCGTATCATAAGGATGCACGATAAGGATGCAAGGACCTCGGACGCTCATTTCGAAGCTTTTCGAGCGGGGCGCGGCCAACGAAAGTGGCCAAGGATGGGCCGAAGGGGCAAGGATGCAAGAATACCCTTGGGAAGGTTGTCCATCCTTACTAGGCGGGTTGACTGTAGGGGATCGCCTACAGAATCGCCTTGCCCCCAACTTGGCTTCCTAGTCGAATACATGGAGAAATGCGCAGAAGGTTCGCAGATTGGCGTCGCTTTCTGCGCACTTGGTCATGGACTCGGCGAGACAAGCAGCTCTGGGATACCTCAAACCTGTAGCCCACCCCCTGCTCAAACGCCCTGTGAACTCCGCCCCTGCGGGCCAGGCCTTCGAGGCACTGGCGGGGGGTCAGGATGCTGCGAGGGAGGTCGGCAGCCCAGGGGGGACTGCCTGCAGCCACGTGCAGGCCGCCACGGGAGTGCCCGACTCTCCGGCGGCGAATCGACGCGCAGGGTTTGGGGTCGCCAGTGGCCGCAGGGGGAGGAGGAGGGAGAGGAGGAGGAGGAGGAGGAGGAGGAGAAGGAGGAGGAGGAGGAGGAAGAGGAGGAGGAGGCGGAGGAGGAGGAGGGAGGAGGGAAGGGCTGAAAACGAAGAGTCGTGTTGCTGGGCCTGGCCCGCAGCGACCTCAGCACTCTCTCAAGTGGGCGCTCCTGTACATGCGCGCACTCGGAGCGGCGCGCCCAAACCCCTGGAAGGCACGACGGCAGCGTGGGAGCTCGTGACAACTACCGCCCCACTGTCAGGACGCAGACCTACGCAGAAAACGCGCCCCCGCGCCCAGGCGAGGAAGACAAGTGCGACACCTCTATTGACTACCTCCCAGAACACCCCAACCCAACCCGAAGACCCGAATTTCGGGTTTGGGGGGGTACGGGTTCCATATGTGTTTATTTCAATGTTCCCAGAACCCCCCCTAACTGGGAATGGAGGGCAAATTGGGGCCTTCGAGTTGGGTTGGTGTGATTGGTTTGGTGGGTGGCTCAACCACGTCACTCTTCGAAGAGTGGCCGCTGGTTTACTACGGGCAGGACTGCCACGCCCCCCCTCATCGCGCTCTCAAGCCACCAGATGCCCAGCTGCATGCTCGCGCCCTCGACCTCCAGCATGAAGCTGGCCGTGGATCTGCTCCGGCTGAGGACCTTTCCCAGGCCCGGTCCCGGCTGCCGCGTGGACCCGCCCGACGACTTGACGGGCTTGCTCGCCCCGATGTGCATGTACTGCGGCTGCTTGGCGCCTTGAATGTTGTGGCCTGGTGTGATCCGAATCAGCTGGCCGTTCCGCAAGTCAAGCCACATGCGCTTACCGCCGGGCGTGGGGAGGCGCCGACCTTCTGCGTCGTAGGGCACCAGGGCACGGGAATCTTTGGGCCAGCTGGGGGGGCGCTGGACTTCCGTGCTGACGCCAAGCTTCAAGAGCAGCATGCGGAGGATGTCGTCGGATTTCCCGAACATCCTGAGAGTCATCTTCCCATCCTGGGCCGTCTGCTGCAAATTCATGATCACCTTTTCCTCCTAATCCGCATCTCTCCTCCTCCTCCTCCTCCTCCTCCTCCTCCTCCTCCTCCTCCCTCCTCCTCCTCCTCCTCCTTCTCCTCCTCCTCCTCCCCTCCTCCTCCTCCTCCTCCTCCTCCTCCTCCTCCTCCTCTCCTCCTCCTCCTCCTCCTCCTCCCTCCTCCTCCTCCTCCTCCGCCCTTACCTCCTCCTCCTCCTCCTCCTTCTTCTTCTCCTCGTCCTCCTCCAGCTCTTCCCTCTCTTCCTCACCCTCCTCTTCCTCATCCCGTCCCTCCTTAACCTCCACTTCTTGCATCCTCGTCCCACCACATCCCCTCCCCCCGTTTTCCTAATCCTCCTGCTGAGCTCCTCTTGACCTCCTCAGTCCGCAGTTCCTCCTTCGCCATCTCATCATCCTCCTCAGTACCCTCCTCCTCCTCAGTATCCTCCTCCTCCTCCTCCTCCTCCTCCTCCTCTTCCTCTCCTCCTCCTCCTCCTCCTCCTCCTCCTCCTCATCATCATCATCATCATCAGCAGCATCCTCATGTCTTTACAAAAAAAAATCATCATCAGCATCAGCATCATCATCGTCATCATCATCATCATCATCATCATCATCATCATCATCATCATCATCATCATCATCATCCTCAGCATCTCCATCATCAGCATCACCAGCATTATCATCAGCATCATCAGCATCATCATCCGCATCATCATCGTCCTCATCCTCATCATCATCAGCTGCAGCAGCACCATCGTCGCCGCCGCCGTCATCATCATGACCCTCATCATCATTGTCAACAACAAGAACAACAACGACAACAGCAACAACAACAACAACAACAACCACAACCACAACCACAACCACAACCACAACGACAACGACGACAACAACAGCAGCAGCAGCAGGCGCAGCAACATCATCATCATCATCATCAACAACAACATCATCATGATCATCGCCGCCACCACCACCAGCATCGTCGCCGTCAGCTGCCATCAGCATCATCTTTATCGTCATCATCGTCATCACTGTCATCACCGTAACCGTCACTGTCAGTGTCATGCCAGCCAGCGTGGACCCTAAACAGAAATAGCTTGCAATCTATGCGATGCAATCTTGGCGGTACAATCCAGGTGCAGTCAATGTGGTGCAACCTAGATGGTACAAGCCATATGGTCAAATAGCTACGTCGCAAAGCAATGCAACTAAATGTAGAGCAATGCAGCGCAACGCAGAGCAATGCGAAACAATGCAAAGAAATGCAAATCAATGCAAAAAGTTGCGAAGCAAAGCAACGCAACGCAAACCCATGCAGAGCAAGTCAGAGCTATGCAAAGCAATGCAAAGAAATGCAAGGAAATGCAAGGCAATGCAAAGCAATGCAAAGAAATGCAAAGCAATGCCAAGCAAGGCAAAGCAATGTCAAGCAATGTAAAGCAATAGAAAGCAGTGCAACGCAACGCAGAGCAAAACAAAGCGACGCAAAGACCCGCAACGCAAAGCAACGTAAAGCCATGCACATCAATGCAAAATAATGCAAAGCAATGCAAAGCAATGCAAAGCAATAGAACGCAGTGCAAAGCAACGCAGAGCAACGCAAAGCAACGCAAAGACCCGCAACGCGAAGCAACGTAAAGCAACGCACAGCAATGCAAAGAAATGCAAAACCATGCAAATCAATACAAGACAATACACCACAATGCAAAGCCATGTAAAGAAATGCAAAGTAAAGCAACGCAGCGGAAAGCAATGCGAAGCAACGCAAAGCAACGCAACGCAGCGGAAAGCAATGCAAAGCAATACAAAGCAATGCAGAGCAATGCAAAGCAGTGCAAAGCAGCGCAATGCAATGCAAAGCAGTGCGATTGCAACGCAGTGCGATTGCAATACGGTGCACTGACGGCAGGCGGCGACGGGCGGCGACGAGGCATGGCTGTTATCATTCAGGGCACCGTTCCCCACGCACAACCAGCAACATGAACATCAAAGCCACCACCAACAACATCAACACCAGCATCATCGTCGCCATCTTCATCGTCACCGTCGGTGTCATTTTCAAGATACATATCATCATGCTGCTGATCCTCCCTCATGCTCCTCCTACTCTCATTTCTCATGTTCCTACTCGTAGTCCTTTCACCCCTTTCGAAAAAGGGGCCATTCGTGGCCTTGTCTGCCAGGCGCCCTGGACCAAGGCGCGTGCCGAGGCACACAGCTACCTCCTGCCCGACCTACGCTGCCCGTTGTGCGGCATAGAACAGGACACCATGTTTCATAGGCTCTGGTGCTGTACACACGATCTTGCGAGCAAACTCAGAGACGATATGATTTGGAGATGACATTAGTTTTCAGCCGGTGGCGTTCCGTATGCTGACGGAGGCGAAGAAGGTTTTGCACACGTTGGGGTTGTTCTCACAACCTGGCGCCTTCTTCCCAACCCCCTGAGTTAACGAGCCTACCTACCAGCACTTTGACCAGCCTGAAAAAGATACCGATCGCGTCTCGGGATATATTTATATATATATATATATATATATTTATGGACGATTCGTGCATACTCTCGGGCAGTAAGGAACTGTCGAGGACGGGATGGAGTTATGTCTCGGTGACTGCCTCTAGGCAGGAGCTTGGACATGTCTACGCCCCCTCCCCCTCCCTATCACCCAGACGGCCCAGGCTGGAGAGTTTGCTGCCTGCACTGCTGCCAGCCAGAATGCCGATGCCCCTGCCCAAGGGTTCAGTGACTGCCAGAATGTTGTAAGCTTGTGGGCACTACCCAGGGAGGAACACCTGTGTTTTAAGCGAGTGCACGCGGGAATGTTTGTATGGACCGCAGACAGTCAGATGGAGGACATCCACAAAGTGAAGGGCCACCTTATAGAGAAGCAAGCTGCGGAGGACGATGTCCTTCGCTTCAGTAAGATAGGG